GCAATAGCTTAACTTGAAAAACCATTTCTCTCGAGGAGGATTTCTCTCGAGTGAGCCAATTGCTAACTTTGCTCACTAGTTGCACAAATAACTATTATCTATGATAGTATTTTACTGAATTATCATGTAATTTTAAATTCGCAGTGCTAGACCTTGCTTTCCTGTACTTCCCCAATACTTTGTTATTCACACTGATTTAGGTCATGTTAATTGGAAAGGGAAAACTAGGTTGTAAAAGTGCCTTTCCATATTTATGGTTGTCTCTATGTATTGGCCGAAAGGGACTATTGAATCCAGACGCGGTGGCGTTCTTTTGAAGATATTGACCGCCCCGGTGCCGCTCCCTTGGACTTCCCCCAAGACATCCGTTCTAAGAAAGATGTAAGCTTCGCTCAGAAAATAGGAGAAAAATTATAACAGCTCCTTTCCATATTTATATGATAGTTTGATTTTAATAAAAAGTTGTTTAACTTATATATGAATTATATTACATCTTAAAACGTGTTTATTAGCTCGCTTTCATGTCCGGTACAAATTTTTCAATCAATTTTATACTAACTTCCCGATGAGGTAGAGACTTGAAACTTGAAACATAGCTCACAAATGGAAGACAATGCAATATTATATCATTTAATTTTCATATTTCCCTTGGGCTACGCCCCATGGGCTTGTTTTTATTAACTCGCTTTCTTGCAAATTTTAATACTTCCCGATGAGCTAGAGACTTGAAACTTGAAACATAGCTCACACATGGATGACAATGCAATATTATATAATTTAATTTTCACATTTCCCTTGGGATACGCCCCATAGGCTTCCAAATTTTCCATTTTTACATTTTGAAAGAATGTTAATATTTTAATTAATATAATATAAGTCAGCTGTAAATACTTAAATTTGACAGTTCGAAGAGCAGAGGTTAAGATGTACAGGTTATGCTCATTGAGATATAGATTATAACTGGAGTCACTACTCTCTGGTTAAACGTTAGAGAAAAACGTGCCACTGTTTTGGCTGGTTTGTTTTTGGTGTTTCGTGTTGTTAGGTTGGCCGTGTGATCGGTTGGTGGGATGCTGTCAAATAATTCCAATTCATTCTAACCTAACCATACTATTTATTTGGGGTTATGTTATCCGTTATTTCAGGGACTTATATCAAAAACTTATTTAAGTTATTGCACATTAAAACCTCTGTATTTAAAGTTATTTTGAAACATTATAAATTGTTTTTGTTTGATAGTAAATAAATACTAACTTATTTACCTCTTTTAAAGCTATGGGGTGAAAATAGGCTAGTCAAGTTTCCTGGTTTGGAGATATTGGTTTAGGCCAATAGCCTTATGGCATTTGATTAAATAACGACCATCGGTTTATGATCTTGTTAAAATGGGTTGCTCTTGCTCGTAAAATAAACAAATAAACTTATATTGCAATCATAACGTTGAGTTGGCAGATTTTTGTTTACTATCATCAACAAAACAGGATGACGCCATCTTGATTTTGCCTCTCTTATTTGACAAGTCCCACCAACCCAATCACCCGGCCAACCTAACAAAACGAAACTCTGAAACAAAACCAGCAAAAACAGTGGTACGTTTTTAAAACACAGAGTGGTTACTCCGTTATATTATTATAGCTCAGTGGTTATGCTTCCAAGAGATTCTATATACAAACAAACATTGCAAAATAAGGACAAACAATCTGATTGCAGATATAAAGGTGTTTGTTAATAATGTCAACTGTTATTTATTTAGTACTCTATAAAAAAACATAAAATTAAATAGATTGATATATTTATAGTTAGTAGGTAGGCCATACATTCAATTTAATTCATCTATATATTAATTTGAAACTGCTTTTGTTTGTGACAACTAATTTGAGAGCACGGCTGGGCGTAGAAACTCGGTAGGGGTGTCTAAAGAAAGGTATTGGTGTTTAACCCTTATGCTTATTTAACTAATATTTAACCATATGATTTTATTTACTTTTCTATAATAATATTATTCTTGTATTAGTGTCTTGATTAAAACAGTTTAGTTTCTTTTGATCTTTTAATTTCTTATTTAAATAAGAAATAGAACATGGCGCAGTCGAATGAAGAACCCGTATCCCTAAACATTAAGCCTCCTGAAGCCTTTTCCTTCAACCCTCAGGACTGGAAGACATGGAAGACTCGTTTTGAGAGGTATTATTCCCTTAGTAATTTAGCTCTACATTCTGGAAAGCATCAGATTGACATGCTTATCTACTGTATGGGGGAAAAGGGAGAGGACATACTTAATTCATTCAGTTTAAATGACAATGACAAATCTAATTTCAAAGCTGTTATACAGAAGTTTGACGATCATTTCCTTCCTAAAAAGAACTTAATTTTTGAACGGGCTAGGTTTCTAAAACTTACACAAGGTTCCATGCCGATTGAGAACTTTATCACAGACCTTCACAATCATGCAAAAAACTGTGATTGGGGTCAAATTGAAGAGGAGATGATTCTGATGGTTTTGATTATTGGTATGCGGGACGAAACACTAAGTGATCGTCTTCAACTTGAACCCGAATTAAAACTAAACACAGCTATAAACACTATCCGTAGATCTGAAGAACTATCAAGACAGAAACAAACTCTTAACTTGACTGACATAGCATTAATAAATAAAAATACTCAACATTTAATTAAGACAAACATTATTCCCAATAAATCAAACAATGATCAAAATTTTAAGCGGATTAATGACAATAAAAGCCTGTCCCATGTCGAAAAGAGATGTTTTTGGTGTGGTTCGACAGTTTTACACAAAAAATTCAACTGTCCAGCTAAACAATACAAATGTGGGTTTTGTAAAAAAGTTGGTCATTTTCCAAATGTTTGCAAATCAAACAAAGTCAGTCAAATTGAATATGATGATACTGACCTTGAAACACCCATTGAAAATGTTTGCTCGCAGTACATAGACCCTCAAACATTCATTGGCATTGTAGGAAAAAACTTGCGTGATGATCCATGGTCTGTAGTGTTAAATATGAATGACAGTGATGTTCTTTTCAAAATTGATACAGGAGCAGACGTAACGATTTTGCCTTCCGACATTAAACTGAATAAGAAAATCAGGCTCACTCCCACATCCAAAACATTTAGTGGTGCAAATGGTCAAGCTCTGTCAATTTTAGGAACTGCTACTGTAAAATTATCACATAATCAAAAAACATGTTATGAGACTATATATGTTTCTAAGGGCACTTCCCAGCCACTTCTAGGTAAACCTGCAATAACAAGTTTGCAGTTACTTGCTCGAATCAACGAAATACAGCCATCCAGTAATGACTGGTATGACAGACACCCCAAACTGTTTGAAGGCTTAGGTTCCATTGATGTCAAATACAAAGTAGAACTGAAAAATAACGCCAATCCATTTGCAATCAACACGCCTCGTCGGATTCCTCTTCCTCTTTGGGAATCTACTAAAGAAGAGCTTGAAAGAATGGTGTCAATGGGCGTGATCGCTGAGGTACACCATGCCACAGACTGGTGCTCTCCAATGGTTGTTGTGCCAAAGAAGGACTCTAACAAAGTTCGCATTTGTGTAGATCTTACTAAATTAAACAGATGCGTCAAACGAAGATACTATCCTATTCAACCCATCGACATAACACTTGCCCAAATCTCAGAAGCAAAATGCTATTCTAAATTGGATGCTAATAACGGATTCTGGCAGATCACATTGGACGAAGAATCCCAAGATTTGACAACGTTCCTGACACCGTTTGGACGTTTTAAATTTCTGAAACTACCCTTTGGAATAACATCTGCACCAGAAGTGTTCCAAGAATGCGTGAATCGAACCCTTAAAGGTCAAATGAATGCACTTGCGCATATGGACGACATAATTTAGAAGAAGTACTTACCAAACTTGAAGGTGCTGGCTTCACCCTAAACAAAGACAAATGCTTGTTCTCTCAAACCTCGCTAACCTACTTAGGTCACCATTTATCTGAATCAGGAATCAAAGTCGATGAGACCAAAGTCGAAGCTATACGAAAAATGGCTCCTCCAACAGATATTTTAGGAGTTCAAAGGTTACTTGGTATGGTGAACTTCATTGGCAAATACATACCTAATAAAAGCCGGTTACTAAAACCCATTACCGACCTACTAAGTAGAAAAAACGAATGGTGTTGGGGTTTTGAACAACAAAAAGCATTCGATGAATTGAAAGAATTATTGGCTTCTCCACCTCAACTTGTATTCTATGATAAAAATAAACCGACTATGATTTCTGCTGACTCTTCTACACAAGGCCTGGGTGGAGTACTTTTACAACAACAATCAGATGGGAATTGGAAGCCTATTTCTTATATTTCACGCACTCTGAGCGAAACTGAACGAAACTACTCTAACATTGAACGAGAAGCTCTATCATTAACATGGAGCTGTGACAAGTTTAAAGACTACATTGTGGGCAAGCACATCACGCTAGAAACAGATCACAAACCTTTGGTAAGTATTTTGACTACTAAAGAGATCAATGATATGACTCCCCGTCTTCAAAGACTAAGACTTCGTCTGATGAGATATTCCTACAATGTGACATACACTCCTGGCAAACATTTAGCCACTGCTGATTGTCTCTCAAGAAGTCCTGTAGCAGCTAATGAGAGTTATGATTTAGATGAGGAAGTTGAACTGGCCATCCACACAGTAACAAGAAACATTGCCTATGTAACTGACATGGTTCTTGATAGAATTGCATCGGCACAGCGGGCTAGCTCAGAACTCAGGGTAATTAAATCTTACTGCTCAACTGAATGGCCTGATAAAACTAAGATTCCCGATAATCTTAAGCCATACTTCACAGTTCGGGATGAAATCTCTTTTTGTGTCGGACTATTGCTTAGAGGAGAACGTCTCATAATCCCGACAACTCTTAGACAAGAATACATACAGGCCACCTAGGCATAACGAAATGTCGACTTAGAGCCAACAATAGTATGTGGTGGCCAGGAATGTCACTTGACATTGAGAAATTTGTTAATGATTGTCCCAAATGTACTGAACATAGAACACAACATCATGAACCCCTTTTGCCCAGTGAGCTTCCATCTCGTCCTTGGGAAAAGGCAGCGATTGATCTCTTTAAACTTGAAGGAACATGGTTCGTAGTAATCACTGACTGTTTTTCACGTTATTTTGAAATAGCTACATTAAAGAACCTGTCAACTGCTGAAATAATCGAAAAATGCAAATCTGTATTCTGCCGTCACGGTATACCAATTGAGCTACGATCTGATTGTGGTACACAGTTTGCTACCAGATACACTGGTCTTGAAAACTCTGAATTCAAAAAGTTTGCTCAAAGCTATAACTTTAAACTTGTGACAAGCAGTCCAAGCTACCACCAAAGTAACGGTGCAGCTGAAGCTGCAGTCAAAATAGCGAAGAGTGTACTAAAGAAAAACAAAGACGACCCATATTTAGCCCTCCTAACCTACCGCAATACACCTCTATCCACAAGTGGATACAGTCCTGCTCAGCTAATATACAACAGACCACTGCGAGATAACCTGCCTGTTTTACCTAAAAAACTTGAAATCAAACCCGATCTCTCTCAACTAAAGGAAAAAGAAGATACTTACAAAGCATCTTACAAGAGAAACTACGATAGGCGCTACGCTACAAAAGAACTTCCATCGCTGCCTGTAGGTAAGAAAGTATGGATCCAAGACCTAAAAAGAGATGGTATTATTATCAGCTTAGGACAAGAGCCAAGGTCATACTGGGTTAAGACAGGAAACACTACGTTGAGAAGGAATCGACACCACCTTTTGCCTTACAAAGGTAATACAACCAAACCGAACAATCCTATTCCTTTATCCATCAAAGATACAACGTCAGATCCTCTGCCATTTACTACTGTTACTCAAAACAACTCTTCCCTATCAAATACTGCTGAAAGAACAACTACTACACCATCTAGAATAACTCAAGATAAAAGTAAACCTTTTTCACGATCAACTACTCCCAATCAAGAAGCTGCAATAAAACAATCATCAAGAGGCAGAATTATAAGACCTACGAAACGTTTTCCTGACTAAACTCTGAAAAGAAACTCAAAGGGAAAGATGTTTAACCCTTATGCTTATTTAACTAATATTTAACCATATGATTTTATTTACTTTTCTATAATAATATTATTCTTGTATTAGTGTCTTGATTAAAACAGTTTAGTTTCTTTTGATCTTTTAATTTCTTATTTAAATAAGAAATAGAACAATTGGTCTGTAGGTGATCCCTCAAAAGAGAAACGAGCTAAATTTTCTTGGGGCTCTGCCCCAGAGGCCTTTAAAGTTCACTCTGTAGTTTTGTTTACATCACGACCATATGGATAATTTTACACTACTTTTAATGAATCAGCTGTTAATATTAAAATATTGTATTCAAAGGTCTACTGAAACCAATTTCATACGCCTTGTACTGAAACTGTCAAAGTTAAATGTTTAAGCCCCGTTCACACGGGGCGAGCTTACAAGCCGGAATTTTTACACGCAGCTAGTAAAATAGCTCAGTGTGAACTACGTACTCGCTCAAAAGCTGCTGGTAAAAAAGCTCTAGAAAAAGTTGACGCTGCCGCTACTTTACACGCCAACTCGCCAGTTTTTGAGCGAGTAGGCGTGTAAAGTAGCCCTTTTGATAATAATATAATACTAGTAAACACGTTGCTCGAAATCGAGCAATCGCAAAGGAGTAAAGTAGTTATTTAAAAACAAATAAATGTCATCATAATTTTCGATGAGTTTAAAGACTTTGAATAGAAATAGTATATTTCGTACCTAGGGCCGAAAATGAGTACGAACGCCATTTTTCATCACACTATACCCTATTACCACTATTTACCACTATAATAATGCACACTGTTAGTCAACACAACTTTAAGGGTAGCCTATGTGAAGAAATAATTTGAGGAATCAGCAAAAATAAAAATAAATAGTTGCTAGGCAACGGTGACAATAACACAATTCTATTGCAATGCTATGGATTTTGATTGTGTATTTAAAATGCATTCATGTTTTAAGTAAGTAAGCGGACAGCTGATTTTGCGGCCCCGGCCTGTAAAAACCTGCTCGGTCCCCAAATTTCGATGACAGCTGGCATGGCCAGCAAAACGTAACTTTCAGCCACCAATTAACGTATGTAATACAGCCAAAAACATCATAGTGTGGTGAAAACATCATAGTGTGGTGAAAAATAAATAACAGCAATTAAATTATACAGCTGATCAAAATGTAAACAGTTATGTTCTTCATAAGGATAACATGGGAACTTTATCAGCCGCTGGGGCAGAGCCCAAGGGACTTTTTCAGAAATTTAAGGTCAGTTCAGAAAATCTACGCGACACGCTCTTTCCTTATATAACTTGGTAATTTAGAGGACTGCCTCAATCATACTTATACAGATTATTCTACACATTGTATATTACCATTAGAATACCTCAAAGTTGATGTGATGGACTTAGGAAAAAGATTGTGCACTTTTTCCTGATGCGAGTTCCTATCAACCATATACATTTTGCCATATAACTTGGTAATTAAGGGGACTGCCTCAATCATATTTATACTGACTATTCTACACATTGTATATTACCATTAGATTACCTCAAAATTGATGTGATAGGCTTAGGAAAAATATTGTGCACTTTTCCTGACGCAAATTCCTATCAACCAAATACATTTTGCCATATAACTTGGTAATTTACTGGACTGCCTCAATCATATTTATACTGATTATTCTACACATTGTATATTACCATTAGAATACCTCAAAGTTGATGTGATGGACTTAGGAAAAAGATTGTGCACTTTTTCCTGATGCGAGTTCCTATCAACCATATACATTTTGCCATATAACTTCGTAATTCACTGGACTGCCGCAATCATACTCATACTGATTATTCTATACATTGTATATTAGCATTAGAATACCTCAAAGTTAATTTGATGGGCTTAGGAAAAAGATTGTGCACTTTTCCTGATGCGAGTTCCTATCAACCATATACATTTTGCTATATTTTCGTAATTCACTGGACTGCCGCAATCATACTCATACTGATTATTCTAAACATTGTATATTACCATTAGAACACCTCAAAATTGATGTGATGGGCTTAGGAAAAAGATTGTGCACTTTTCCTGACGCAGATTCCTATCAACCATATAGATTTTGCCTTATAGCTTCGTAATTCACTGGACTGCCGCAATCATACTCATACTGATTATTCTATACATTGTATATTAGCATTAGAATACATCAAAGTTGATGTGATGGGCTTGGGAAAAAGATTGTGCACTTTTCCTGATGCGAGTTCCTATCAACCATATACATTTTGCCATATAACTTCGTAATTTACTGGACTGCCTCAATCATATTTATACTGAGTGTTCTACACATTGTATATTACCATTAGAATACCTCAAAGTTGATGTGATGGGCTTAGGAAAAAGATTGTGCACTTTTCCTGATGCGAGTTCCTATCAACCATATACATTTTGCCATATAACTTCGTAATTCACTGGACTGCCGCAATCATATTTATACTGAGTATTCTACACATTGTATATTAGCATTAGAATACATCAATGTTGATGTGATGGGCTCAGGAAAAAGATTGTGCACTTTTCCTGATGCGAGTTCCTATCAACTATATACATTTTGCCATATAACTTCGTAATTTACTGGACTGCCGCAATCATATTTACCCTGAGTATTCTACACATTGTATATTACCATCAGAATACCTCAAAGTTGATGTGATGGGCTTAGGAAAAAGATTGTGCACTTTTCCTGATGCGAGTTCCTATCAACTATATACATTTTGCCATATAACTTCGTAATTTACTGGACTGCCGCAATCATACTCATACTGATTATTCTACACATTGTATATTACCATTAGATTACCTCAAAGTTGATGTGATGGGCTTAGAAAAAAGATTGTGCACTTTTCCTGATGCGAGTTCCTATCAACCATATACATTTTGCCATATAACTTCGTAATTTACTTGACTGCCGCAATCATACTCATACTGATTATTCCACACATTGTATATTACCATTATAATACCTCAAAGTTGATGTGATGGGCTTAGGAAAAAGATTGTGCACTTTTCCTGACGCAAATTCCTATCAACCATATAGATTTTGCCTTATAGCTTCGTAATTCACTGGACTGCCTCAATCATATTTATACTGAGTATTCTACACATTGTATATTACCATTAGAATACATCAAAGTTGATGTGATAGACTAAGGAAAAAGATTGTGCACTATTTCCTGATGCGAGTTCCTTTCAACCATATAGATTTTGCCTTATAGCTTCGTAATTCACTGGACTGCCTCAATCATATTTATACTGAGTATTCTACACATTGTACATTACCATTAGAATACCTCAAAGTTGATGTGATGGGCTTAGGAAAAAGATTGTGCACTTTTTCCTGATACGAGTTACTATCAACCGTATACATTTTGCCTTATAGCTTCGTAATTCACTGGACTGCCTCAATCATATTTATACTGAGTATTCTACACATTGTATATTACCATTAGAATAGCTCAAAGTTGATGTGATGGGCTTGGGAAAAAAGATTATGCACTTTTTATGTTCGGAGTTTTAATTGATCGCGTTATGTTAAGCCATAGCTACGTATAATGTACACTACGGTCTCAAATATGCCTTTTAAAATACGTCAATTAATTAGTTTTAACTTGTATACACGTTTTATCAATGTATAATTGACATTATATAAATATAAAAACATCATTTCGCACCGTATTGTCTTTGAATTGTGTTTCCGACATCCCTGCAAAACACGTTTGTGGCGTTCGCAGGAGTACCAACCCACATCTATTACAAACCGAAAAAGCGCCGATGAAAAGAGCCGCTAACTTCACGACGGTTTTTTTACAGGATTGATCTTTTTACATTAGATACATCTATGCAAAAGAAGCTTAAATATGAAAAAAAAATTTTATCTCATCTCGTTTTTTAGTTAGCCTACCTAGGCCTAACTATTATTTGAAAGTTCAAAAAAAAAGCGCGGTTTTGCCCTTTAAGGGATATACGTTTTATTTAATATCTCAAGAAAGAATAAAGATAGAAAGGTAAAACAAAAACCATTCTTTTCAGGATTAAATTAGCTTTAATTTGATATACAACATGACAGTATTTCAAGTAATTAAAATTTAAAACTTCCCAAACTCAAAATTTCAAAATCCAATAGGCCTACCAAAAAACGCATAGGCCTGTGATTAAAAATTTTCAAAAAACCATGAATTCTTGATATAATTATTAAGGTGGATACAAAATTTCAATTTGGGATCTCAGTGGGATCACATCCAAACATTAAAATTACAGTAGAAAAACACAATAATTTTCATTATTATCAGGTAAAATTTGGCATGTAAGTTAAGGATTGATTTTTTACAGGATTGATCTTTTTACATTAGATACATCTATGCAAAAGAAGCTTAAATATGAAAAAAAAATTTTATCTCATCTCGTTTTTTAGTTAGCCTACCTAGGCCTAACTATTATTTGAAAGTTCAAAAAAAAAAGCGCGGTTTTGCCCTTTAAGGGATATACGTAAGTAAAGGATTTATCATCCAATGCATTGTTATGATAAAGTTTGTTAAGAAGCCAAACTTTGTCTTATGTGACCAATTTAACCTATAACTTAGGCCTAGTAAAAATTTATATTTAGTAGAAAAATGACTACCTTTCAGCAATTTTAATTGTGTACATAATTAATTTTTTAGAATAACCACTAATAAAATTAAAACATACGACATACAAAATCCATTATTAACAGATTTTTTTTTGTTTTTTTTTTTTGTATAATTTACTATAGTCTAGCAATTGGACATGCTATGTTATGACATATTATGTTATGCTATGTTATGTTATGATAGGAATTAAGTTACCATTCACCATAAGCCTAAAATCTACCCTAAGACCAGTAAATTACCCTAAAAAAGGGTAATTTACCTTAAAAGTGGCAGTATTATGGCGTGGTCTTGATGTTATACCGTATGTTACAG